CGGGTGTGCAGAATCAGTCCTCACAGCAGGTCTGCAGGTCTCCGGGTCTCCGCCTGCCTCCAACGCCCCCTCCACCTGCCCACCTGCCTGTGTGCTTCCCCAAACCTTTTTTCCTCTTCTGCCAACTCTGCCCCATACCCCATTGCTTTTAAAGATTCTCCTACATCTCTTCTATCTGGCATCATACCTGTATTTTTTTTTTTTTAGTTTCTTTCTGTGTTTAGTTTTCCCCTGTTCTAGCTCCCTCCCCCACCTCTTCTGGCATCCCTCCTTCCTCTGCCCTGGGGCACCACACTTTGAGGCTGCTCACTACCAGGATGTCTCCTGTCCATGGAAGAATAAACATTGCTCTGTCCATCCATGCCCCTGGACACATCTGCAGCCTCTGGGCAGGGTCCTGGGAAGCAGTGAGGAGCTGTGGGGCTGGAGCCATGGCCCCAGCTGTGGGGTGGGACCCATGAGGTGGGGATGGGCTGATGGTTTAAAAGGCTGCAGGTGGAGATGGGCTGGGGCAGCCCCAGGTGTAGCTGGTGAGGTTCCTGCTCCAGGCAGAGCTCCTGTGGGAAGCCTCATTGAGAGCATCAAGGCACCCATCACCTTGCTCATGGGTGGGCAAAGGGTCACACGGGGCACTGGCAAGGGACAGGCAGAGAGAGAAGCCTCAGGGCAGTGGAGGTCTGCTGCTGGTGCCTGGAGCTGCATTGAGTCACACATCCCACCACATTCATCCAGGCCCATCCCTGCCATGCTTCTCCAGATCTCTTCCTTCCTTTGTCTCTCTTCCAGGCTGTCCAGCTCCCTGAAGCTTTTCCTCTTCTGCCAACACTGTCCTGTAGCCTGTCACCTTCTACATTTCCTTTCTATGCCTCTCACTTTCTGGCTTCCCACCTGCTATTATTTCATTCTTCCCACACTGCCTTCTTCCCCGTTGCTTGTGAAAACTGCATTTCAGGTCTCCCTCTGCCCAGCAACCTGTCTCGGTCTTCTTCCTTCTTCCCAGCAAGTCTCTCTGCTCCGCACCCCACTGCTCTTCCCACATCCTTTCCCTGTGGCTGTCTATCCAGCTCTCTCTCCTGATATTTAACTTCTTACCCATATGGCCAGTAACCTGTTGCTTTCTAAATTTTCCCTCTCTATCTACATTTACACAGTTCCCTGTTTTGGTTTTTTTGTTGTTTTGTTTTGTTTTTTTAATTCTTCCTGCCTGTCCTCTATTTCATCACTTTAAAAATTTTGTTTCGGTGTCTTCATTTATTTCTTTCACTGGCCCCCTTTCTTTTTTCCTCTTTTCTTAATCCCTTCACTTATAAAATATTCTTTCTATGTCAACTTTTATTCCATTTTCTCTCCCTACTTTTTATTTTTTCCTCTGTTCTTTTACAGATGCTTTCAAAATTTTCTTTTGATGTGTCTGTTGATTTAGTTTGTTGTCCCTATTTTTATTTTTTTCCTTTATTCTCCTAGTCCCCAATGCTTTTTAAGTGTTCTTTCTATGCCTACCTTTCCCCCTTCACTCTTTTTGTAGTTATTTCTTGTTTTTCCGTAGTGCCCTCACTTTTAAAATTTTCTGTCTCTGATTTAGTTTGCTGTCCCTATATTTTAATTTTCCTCTCAATACCTTAGATTTTCAAATTTTGTTTCTATGTCTACTTTTATCAAGCTCCCTATCCCTATATTTTATTTCTTTCCTGTCATGTACCCCACAGCTTTTAAAATGTACTTGGCTATGTCTGTTTTAGTTTGCTGTCCCTACTTTTTAATTTTTTCCTGTATATCCTGTACCCTGTTGCTTTTGAAAATTTCCTTAAATGTTTCTTTCTTTTCACCCTATTCATATTTTCTAATTTTTTCTTGTCTTTCTGTAATGGCTTTGCCTTAAAAAATGTCTATGTTTCTTTTTTCCAGTTTTCTGTGCATATTTTTCAAAATTTTCTTCTCCATCTGGAACCCTGACCCTTTTTCAATTTTCTATGTCTACTTTTATTAAGCTACCCGTCCATATTTTTAATTTTCCTCTGTCATGTACCCTGTCACTTAAAATTAATTTTCAGTATGTGTATTTTTCACTCCATCCTTATTAAATGTTTTCCTCTCTTTCCTCAATGCCATTGCTTTTAAAATTTTCTTTCTATGTCTCTGTTTTAGTTTGCTGCCCATATTTTTATTTTTTCCTGCCTGTCACATACCCCACTGCTTTATTAAATTTTCTTTCTATGTCTAGTCTTAGCAAGCTCACCTATCCCTTCTAAAATTTTTTTCTTGTCTGTCCTGTATCCTGTTGCTTTTTAAGTTTTCTACATGTCCCTCTATTTTCACCTTACTTTCTCATTTTTCCTCTCTTTCCATTAATGACATCAATATTTCAGCTTCCTTTCTGTGTAAACTTTTATCCATTTCACTGTCTTTATATTTTTGTATTTTTCTTGTCTGTCACTTACCCTGTTGCTTTTTAAATTTTCTTTTTGTGCAGGTTTTTTTTTCCTCCTTCCCTCTTTTCATGGTGCATCCTCAGGCTTTAGAGGGTCTCCTCTGCATGCTGTTATCCCTGCAGCATAATTTGTACCCCTCCTGGTTTGTCAGAACATCTCATGTCATCCCTCTTCCTCAGAGCAGTTTTTGTGCCCTCTCCTCCACCTCACTTGCCTCCCATCAGTCAGTGTCTCCCTCATGACATCTGTGCTCTGTTCAAATCCCCTCCCAAATACCTTTGTGCCCTTAAGCCTTCTTCCAGGTCTCTGGCCACCTCATCACCCCTGTAACCCTCAGAACGCTCTTATCTGTCATCTAGGGTGCCTCCATTTGATCCCTGGCCTCCTGAGGACATCTGTACTCTGTTCAAATCCCCTCCAGAGGTCCCTGAACATTCTTTGGCCCATTCAAGACCCCTCTAGTGGTGCCACAATGTCTACTGATGCCTTCGAGGTTGCCCTTAGCACACTTCTAGCTTTTTCATACCCATCTTGTTCCCTCAGAAGACTTCCTGAGTCCATATCTGTGACCCAGCCCAGCTAGTTGGTCCTCTTTTCCCTCTAGCATGCCTCTATTTGTTCCCTAGCCCTCTGATGACATGCTTACTTAGTTCAGATTCCCTCTGGATTTGTTGCATCCCTAGTCATTCTTCTGGCTCCCTTGGGACATTTTGTCTCCTAGTCATGATGCCTCCCAAGACCTTCCTTGTGCTCCGCATCCATCTTGTAGCACTTTAGGTGGGGCTACCTTTGACCCTTAGAGCATTAATTCGTTTCTCTATGCTATCTAGGATTCCTCTGTTCAGTCCTCAGCCACCCAAGGCCATCTGTACTCTGCTCCAGATGATCACCCGAGCTCTTCCTTGTTGTCCCCAAGTCTTCTTTTGTCCATCAGTCCCCCTTGACACCCCTTTCCTCCTAGTCACAATGCCTTCTGAGACCTTCCTTGTTCTCTACAGCACCTTGTAGCACTTTATATCCCTTTCCATCTTTCTTGTTCCACCAGAGCCTCTCATCTTTCTTTGCTACACAGTGCTCCTTTATCTTTCTCTCTGCCATTGAGGGTGTCTTCATTCAGTTCCTCTCTCACTCAGTCGTCTGTAATTTGTCTAGATGCCCTCCTGAGACTTCAAGGCCCCCACTTTGTCTCCAAGCCTTCTTTTCTTACTGTGTGCCTTCATAATTACTTTCTATAACAATGTCTTCCGAGTCCTTTCTTGTACTCCATAGCACTCTCGTAGCACTTTAGCTCCACTTGTGTTGGTTTGGTTTTTTTTTTCCACTTCAGAGTTCTTTGCCATTTAGGATGCCTCCATTCCCTGCTCCGTCACAACATCTGCACTTTGTTGAAATCCCTTTCAGTTCCTCATTGTTCTCTCTGAGGCTTCTTAGGTCTCTCAGGCCCCCTTGGGACTCCTCCTCTCCCTTTGACAAGTTCTCACAAGACATCCCCTATGCTCTAGTACCCTATTCTAGCTTGGGAGGGCACTTTGCACCCCTTTTTTCCCCTCTGAATCCTTGCTGAGTCTGCATCTGTTAACTCAGTTGGTCTTTCTGTCCTCTCACCCATTCAGTGCACCTCCATTTGGTCCCTAGTCCCCTGAGGACATCTGTACTTTGTTCAATTCCCTTTTGAGCTCATTGCATCCCCAAGACTTCTTTGGTCTCTCTGGCCCCTTCAGGACATCTCTAATCCCTGTGACAATGCCTCTTGTTCTGCAGGGCCTTTTCTGAAGCCATCTTTGCTCTCCACAGCAGTCTGTCTGTTTTCTGTCTTATAGCATGTTTCTGTTTGGTAGCAGGAACCCCAAAAATGTCCATCTTTGGCTTAGATCTCTGAGCTTTTCAGAAAAGGTAGTAGCCTTTATAATTTTGTATTGT